TCAAGGCATCCAACCAGTAACGTAATATTGCTACGTCCACCACTAATCCCTGCATGCCACATCTACACAGCTCTTAAATACTGACAGGGATGGCAACACCCCGCATTTCCCTGAATAGCCTGTTCCAGTGCCTGACAGGAAATTCTTTCTAATGTCAAACCTAAATGTTAAAAACCAAAGTGCCCAAAAGATCTTGTAATTCAAGACCATTATCAGCTTATGCAAAATGCACTACACCAGAAAGAGTTATTTTTTCTTAAAAGCAGAAAAATTTAAACTGTCTTTCACAGGTTGTGCACAACTTTTAAAATGCTAACTATGTTTCTTGAATTTCCAAACAAAATCAAACAATTACCAAAAAACTTTATTCAAAAAGAAGAGAGAAACAAGATGTTTCTAAAACACCTGAAAATATCACAATCCTTCTCTAATCAAATTAGGTTACTAGTGTAAGCTTTCTTTTTAAAACTGCAAGTGACCTTGCTGCATGTAAACAGTAACTAACTGGATTATGGTGCACTACATTTATTTTCAAAAAAAGGTAACACAAAACCTGAACTGAACACCAGATAATTAGTAACTCAAATGACTTTGTATCAGTATCCAAGTTTTTGCTCAGTACAAGTGCTAAAAATAGGTTAACTTTCAGCTCAGAATTAAGTCAAAAGAGAAACACTAAGCACCATATTAACTGGATTACTAAGTAAAATAAAAAAGTACAACCCCTAATTTCACCCTATCGCCTTACACATTTAGTATACTGAATTTCTATGTATCAGTGGGAAAGAACTATGAAAAGAGTGCACTTGTTTCACATCCTCTGAATAAAAGACACCATCTCCCAAAAATGCCTTGCCAGGTCACCTGAAGAGTTACAATGTGTGTAGACTGTGAACCTGCATGACCTACTGCTTCTACTCAGGCAGAAACAGAATTAAAAATAAAAATGTTTTTCAGATTTGGACAACTGCTGCAGGCTTCCAAAAAGCATTAGGATCTACACAGAAGCCGGATTCAGAGTTATTTTAACATCAAAAAAATCTTGTGTTTATGTTGGTAAGCTGCGGGGGAAAGCAACCAAACAAAACAAACACACAAAAAACATGCCACAAACCAGACTAAACCTCCCTAAACAACAGCAACTAAAATGCAATTTTGTTTTAATTATTTCAAAGGACATTAAATCAGTAGTCCTTCCAGCCTAAATGACACTACTTTCACAGAACCAATTAGGCTGGAAACAACCTCTGAGATCAAGTCCAACCTATGACCAAACACCACTGTGTCAGGTGGTCCATGGCACTAAATGCCACACCCAGTCTTTCCTTAAACACCTTCAGGGACAGGGACTTCACCACCTCCTTGGGCAGCCCATTCCAATGCCCCACCACTCTTTCTGTGAAGAAATTCTTCCTAATGTTCAACCTACACCTCTCCTGGCACAACTTACGCCTGTGTAATTTTGTCCTGTCACTGGTCTGTGAGAAGAAACCGACTCCCACCTGGCTACAGCCTCCTTTCAGGCAGTCAGAGAGAGTGATAAGGTCATCCCTCAGTCTCCTTTTCTCCGAGCTAAACAACCCCAGCTCCCTCAGCGCTCCTCAGAGGACTTGTGTTCTAGACCCTTCACCAGCCTTGCTGCATAGTATAAGGAAATCTATGAATCATAATAACAGGAATAGACCATTGCATCTACTCCAATTTTAGAATAATTTTAATTCAAATTGCTCAACTGATCAGAAATATGGAGAGCAGGAATTACATGATAATAGCGTTTGAGCATTTACATTTCATACAGAATTCACTTTGTCTTTTATACTGAACTACCATAAATCAATAAGAAATCAGTCCACAGGCCACAAAATCATTACAGCAGAGAGAAGACCCAATAGAACAAAGTGCTAATAGTATTCTACCTGAAAACACTCAGAAATCCTTAGTCAAGCAAACAGTCAAAAGTTTATTATGCTGATTGATGACTTCATGAGCTATGTTTAGGTAATTTTGTTTATCTATTTAAAGTCTTGGATCTGCTTATGAGCGTGCTTCCTTAACATTCCCCTTTACTGTCCCGAATACAAAACCACAGAGGTAGCTGTTGGGTTTTCTGCTTGTTTTTTTACATATTAGAAGAGCTGAGGCCCTTGGGCTTCCGTATGAATCTAAAAAGCACTATCAAACACCATGAGACTCCCTACAAGCAGGCGTGTCTGCCTTTTGTCCTACCACGCAGATTCATACATATTCCTGGTCCCAGCTGGGAAACAGTTTAAGATTCAACAATACAAGAACATGGAATAGCACTCAACTGTCAGATGAATACTTCTGAGCACAGCTTTCCTCTGTTACAAAATAAAAGCAAAAAAAAATGGAAAACCACAGCAATAGGTATTGAATTGTTCCCAATGAACAAATATGTACTATATGTATATATATACAACAAGTTGGAAGTCTTCACATTCCTCCCATAGTTTTTGATCAATATAGAGCATGTACTGAGCCTCTGACAACTGAATTTCCACCTAAATTTTCCAAAATCTCCCTTTGTACGAAATTTCAACAAACATTCTTAATGAGAACACAAACACTCAGGTACAAACTATCTCTTTTAACAAGCAGTTTAGTTCAATTTAACCTGTAACTATTCCACAAACAGGCTACTTTAAGTTGTCCAAAGAAGAGTAAAATCAGCCACAAATTTGTACTCATGACAGTGAAATTGCCACTCCTTACATAACTAAGTTCGGTAACTTTTAGCACAGTTCCATCTGTGCTAAAACAACAGTAAATGAAACGACATTAAAAAACTCATCCTAACTGTAAAATAAAAAATTTTCTTTGCAATAATCAATATTGAATGACCACTCAACAAACTTCAAAGAAACAGCTACATAGAACAGGCTAAAAGGTGTCCATTAAATGATAAACAAATAACAACAACCACAACCACAAAACATAAACCAAAGCCTTCACAAATCCTACGGAAGTAAGCAAAAGGTCACAAGAATTTCCAAAACTGCGAAACAATGATATTTCAATACATGTTTATTTTTGATGATGACAAACTGATATTTAAAGTTACTACTGCAAACTATGTATGAGCATACACAGAACTATAAAGAAATGCTGCAAATATATCAACAGATATGCTAAATTAAATCATCATATGCCTTTCACTATGCACCCAATATGTACTTTAACTTCTCTAAATGCACACAAAACTAAGCAATGTCCTGCCTAAGTGTATCTCTGCCAAAAGAATAAGGACGCAAATGCATCTTCAAATGTTACCAGTAAAGAAAAACCCAATCAAACAAAAAAACCATGAGTTCATCCAAAGTTAAAAATATGAGACCTTTATTTCACAAAAGGAAAGCTTACACAGAAATTAACAAAATTTTTCATTATTGCAACAAAGTATTACAAAGAAATTAGTCAAAGAATGCTGCGTTACTATATGTGAATTTCTTCTCTTTAACATGCCAAACATTTTAATGGCTATTTCATTTAAATCTCAGTAATATGATTAATTAAGCATTTTGTATAATGGAATGAGTATGAGTTAGAAATTATTAAGGTTTAAGATGAAAAGAAGTGTAAACAGCCTTTTTAAGCTCTTGGCAGAATTCATGGACTTGGTAAAGCTTTTCCCTGCATGGCCCTGAGAGCCAAACAATTTTTGTGGAAAAAAGACTGCTTACTTACACTGTCTGAAGCTGGCACAGAAAAACACTGCAGCTGTCAAGGCCTGGGATGTATCAATCTTCAGCTTACCCAAAGAACATTCAGCCTACTCAAGTGCACGTTAACAGCTCAAGAGTTCAGCAAGAGTGTACCTTGAACAGCTGAGATCTTATATAAAAGGCAGAATACAGATGCCATTTGAAAGCTAGCAGAAATTACTCATTACTTAGAACATATCTAATGTCAGATAAAGATGCTTACTCTACAATCAAGTTTGCATGAAAGGACAAAAATACTCTGAAAAAAGGAAGGAGAACATTGTGTATTCCCTGAAGTGACATTTTCCCCTCAGCCTACAGTTAAAGTGATTGTAGTTCATCATACTGAAAGACAAAAAGAAGTGCAGACTACCCTAGGCTTTAAATGTGTTCTTTGTAAAGTAAACTGCATTTTTTCTTACCGATTTTTAACAGGAGCAAGCTCAGAAACACTGACAAAAAGATAAGTCGCTAATAAACATTACAAGGCATAACTAGCTACAGCATGAGTGTTTGCTTTCAAGTGAAGCTCTGAATTTATAAAACATCAGCAGAAATTAAAAAACTAAGAATGCCTCTGACTTACAAGCCAGGAAAGACAAATATCCTTATTCAAAACCTTTTATCTTCCTTTTTGAAGGGAATTCCAAGAATAACTATTTCACTGGCTATGTGATATCAAAAATTCCTAAAACCGTATCAATATTGCAGTTGTCTAATGGAAACTTAGAACCACAGAATCTTTTGAATATTTTTATACAGCTTTATCAAGGAGAATTATCTGCAATCTTTTTTTTTAAAGTAATTATACTGAATTTTCTAAAGCAAAACTTTTAAACTAGCAATAAAACATGTATCAAAAGCATAAGCAGTATCTTTTTTCTTTTTTTTTTTTTAATCTCACAGAAACTACATACTTGTAACACTTTGGGTTTTACAATTTACTTATAACAGTTTGGGTTTTACATTCACAAGTAAGTTTAGTTTTTTGTTTAGATGTATATCATGCACTGTGTTGAGAACAAGGATAAACTGAAAAACTTCCCCCCTTTAACATAAACTCATATATCAAGCATCTCAGTTACCTGTAATTTGAAATCAGTACTCTTTTGGATGTTTCACTGTATTTATTTCTAAGGACGTTAATTACTGTTAAGTGTTCCTATCATACCTTAAATCTTTACAGCATTACAAATTATTATTCACTTATTATTATTCATCTTCTCAAATCTAGAAGACAATACCCTTAGACCAGAAAAGTAAAACATAAACCCCAACCTCTTCAAACTCAATCCAAACAGCCTCTTCTGCACTCCCACCTCTGCAATCATCGCTACAAAAATACAGGACAAAAACTCTCATTTCAGTTCATTAATCAGTTCTTATCCCCAGGTGGGAAAATAAAGCAGTTGGGAGGACAGAGGGAGCTATTGGTTTACTGATAATTTTTAATAAGAACTCTATAACAATTACATAATGATAATTTTCTGTGTTATGAATTGAGTATTTCAAAACACATGATTGTCAGGCTGGAAAAATTTGTATGGCAATCAAAATACTACATGGCATGGGGTGTGAGGGGTGAATGCATGAAATAACCTGGCTGGCTGGTATAAGCACCAAAAAAACCTGCAAGAAAATTCTGTCTATGTTCTGGGCTCCCCAAACATCTAGGACAGACTAGTACACTTCCAACTAAACAACTGAAGTCTTTTATCAAGCTGATATATATACTTCATGTGCAAGTGACTTGTTTCTTTCTTGATGTCTTACAAGATTTTTAAATTTACACCGCTGCATACTGTCAGTTCAGACTCTCTTTACCCACTGTGCCAGTGTTTCTTTGTGTTCTCCAGTTTTCCAGATTACATTCCTAAATAAGAGGTATTCTCTGTACAACCATGTCCTGCTGAGTAGTCACAACAAAAATACTCTTACTCTTTAGAAAAATCTATCTGTGAGGTGCTGTGCTTTTCAACAACCTAAAAAGTCACCAGAAGACTGATCAGTAACTTACAAGAAAACTTAGAACCTTAGACACACCAGGCTCTTAAAATAATACTGTGTTATTTTCAAGTTCACAGAAGTCACTCACAGACAGTATGCACTCTTAACATCTAATTATCAGGTAGAAATTTGTAAGAGGGCTGTAGGTGACTTGACCAGACTGACTGTGTTTTTTTAACAGACATCATCGACAAACAAGAGTATTTTCCCCCATCCCCTCAATTCCTTAATGTTGCAGTATAAGTGAGACAATCAACATGTAAATGCATTATATTAAAAAAAAAAAAGTTTCACGTATATTTCTCACATACTTTTCTTTCAAAGAAATTACTGTTATATTGTCTGTGTTGGTAGTTCTCGCAACAAACGTGTGTTTGATTCAAAAAGGGACAATGTAGTATACTGCTTTACTTAACACTTGTGGGTAAATATACACACACACACCCTCAAACACGCACTCCATTAGAAAGTGAATCCTTACTCATTACACTGCTGAATGCCAACAGGCACAATAAAATAATATAGTGTCAGTGTTACAATGCTGATGCCCTAATAGCGCTCTAAGCAAAAATACCACCCAACTTATACTAAAGATGCTGTCCTTATACATGATTTAACCAGCATACTCTCAGACTAGTTCATCAGCATAACAAAAAGACAGCAATGAACTTAACTGAGTAATTTCATTATATATTCTTAACTGGCATAAATAACTGACTTACTGTGGCATCAACTGGCAAGAAATACAAGGTACTCCTTGGCCATGGCATAGTAAAAAAATGAACATCACTGAAGGCAGATCAGTACCATCACAGGAGGAAGGAACAAAAATAAACATCAATTCACTCATAGACAGAACCAGACAGAGATGGACCTACCACACACAATGCCACCCTCACTGAATAGCAAAAAGTAAATTACTTTCTTCTTCAGTGAGCACACAGGATGCTCTGTTTCCCTTCATTCACTAGAACAGCCTTCTACCAGCAGTTGCTTTTTTCTGAGTACTCAATATTGGAGATGCAGCACTTGATGAATGTAGGAAATCTTTTCAAAAAGGAGAAAATGTGAGAAATCAAAAGCTTTCTTTTAATCCCTTTCTGCATCAAGGATAGGATAAGTGAGTATAACTTTCTAAACTACTTCAATTAAAACTAACTGCAGACATAGAAGTCATTTACACAGAAGATGCACAGGATTGGGTAGGACATGAATTTTCCAAGTCACGTAACTGCTTTCTGTAAGCACTACAACTCAGAGTTATTGTAACAATTCTATCACTTACTTGAGAGTACAGGATCATTTAAAAGCTTCAGTGCAGCTCTCAGAGTTAGTTTTGCTTAAATGTAATCCTCTGGGTTAATACAATCATAATGCACTTGTGATTTTTAATCCATTCAAGAGTACAGGAATGCATAAATAATTTTATTTTACAGACAATATAATCATATGTATGCATTTGGGTATATTCACTCTGTATTACCATGACTAATCAAGTGCAATTTGAGTCCATTATTTCAACTGTGCCTGAAATGGCATTGTAGTATTTTCCAAATCCTCTGGACAAAAATTGTGGACAAATATGAGAATACTTGCATACTTTTTAAGCTGCAAGCTAAACTTCAAATAGTTGAAACAGTGCACTCTCAGTAACAGCAAAGGACAAGAACACTATCGGGAGTCATTCTTCAAGAACAGCATACTTCCTTCCCAAACCAAAATAGTTAGATGGGAACACTAGACCAGCTACAACCAGTCATTCTCCTCCATATTGAATCTGTAACAAGATGGTAAACATACACATCAAAGTGAGTTCTAGAGGTCTCCTTGCTGCATCTGGAAAAATTACAAGAGCCTAAATCTCTGCACATAAAATGCAACTTCCTTTATTGACAAAAGCAGTGGTCTATTGTTCCCATAACAGGTATTTTTTGCATTCATGTCTATCTTACAGCAGCCAGACAAAGTCCCCAGTGACTGGAGGAAAGGGAATTTCATGGCTTTTTTTAAAAAGAGTAAAAAAGGTCATGGGAGCCACCAATCCATGTTGCCCAGTAAAATCATGAAACAGGTCCTTCTGGAAGCTATGTGTTTTAGGTTACAATGTAAGATGTAACCAAAAGTATGTATTTTATTACCATCCTCATAAACTGTTAAAACAGGTGTGGCAGTGTTTCTTATCTCCTCCATGACTCATCCCTGATAATTCCCTCTGGGGCTATCTCTCCTAATGGGCCATCAAGCCTCACTGCATGACTCAAAAATTACATCATCCCATTGTGAGATGCTGTGCCCACAGGGATAAATCAAACATTCCTACCTGGCTATAATCTGAGATTTGGAACACCATGGGCAGCCCTACCTACTGTATTCCCAGAGGACATGAGCTACAAAACCACCACCTTTAGAGAAAGACCAGACCCTTCTACAGGATCACTGCTTTCACAGAACCACGCCCACCATTTAATCGGACTGCTACCATCATCCTGACCAACAGGGTATCAGTGTCCTGACACTGTTTCTGTACAATTACCTGTATTTTAATTTTCCAATTAAACTGTAGTTCTGACTTGGAATGTCTCACTAGCTTGCCTTCAAACCAGTACACTATGACAAGAATGGATGACAAGAGGGTACTTAGCTACAGGAAACATACTTCACCAAGGGCAAACCATGCCTGTGATTACATCAGTGGATAAATGAAGGGCTATCGATGTCACCTACCTCCATTTCCAAAAAGCCTTTCATACAGTCCCCCACAACATTCTTGCTATTTATTTGGAGAACTAATGGTTTGATGGATGCACTATTAGATGAGTAAGGGTCTATGTCCCTGTCCAGAGGGTTTACAGTTAACTGCTCTGTGTCCACATGGAAACCAATCATTAGTGGTGCTACTCCAGGGTTTATACTGAAACCAGTAATATTTAACATCTTCCTAATTACATCTTCATTATATAAACAGTACCAAGCTGAGCACTGCTGTTTCTACACCAGCAGGAAAGGATGCCATCCAGAGGGAATGACATCGACAGGCCTGAAAATCTCAAAGGTGAAACAAGGCAAAGTGAGAGGTCTTGCACCTGGGTTTGGTAAAGCCCATTATCAATACAGACTGTGGGATGAATTAATTGAGAGGAAAAGTACTTGCATGAACTACTGGACAAAATGCTGAACATGAGCCAGCAGCATGCACTTTTACACCAGAAAGCCAACTGTATCCTGGGCCCGCCCCAGGTCACAGGAGACAATTCTCCCTCTCTTGTCTGCTGTTGTGAGACCCTACCTGGAGTGTCCAGCTCTGTAGACCCTAGCACCAGAAACCATATCAACACAGGCCCATAGCAGGGCCACAAAACTGATCAGAAGCATTTTCACACCTTTCCTGTGAAAAAAGGATGAAATAGTTGGGTTTGTGCTGCTTGGAAAATACATACAAGGGTCCTGACTGCCGCCTTTCAATAGCTCAAGGGCGCTTGTAAGAAATTCAGACTTTACCAATGTCTCAAGTAACAGAAAAAGGTTTACCAATTTTAAATTGTATCCTTTTCAATTTAAAAATATTTAAATTTGGATTAAGTATAAATTCAGACTGAACATCAGGAAAATGGACAAGGTGGTGTGGCAGTGGAAGAAGACTGCAGGTCCCCCATCACTGAAGCTTTCAAAGACATCTTGGGTAGGGTTTTAATTAACATGACCTAATGAAACACATTCCTGGCTAGGGAGGTGGGACTAGATGATCTTTAAAGGTCCTTCCAAGTGAAGCTATTCTATGACTCTGTAAACTCTACACCAAATTTTAAATTCCCACTGACATGCTGGGCCAATCTGAAATATTCACACACAGACTTACTGTGAATAGGGAACGACTTTATGAAGCGCAAAAATATACTTTTTTTTTTTTTAAGTCTCACTTTTAGTTAGTCTTCAGTTTTACTTCTATATTCTAAACCAGTTTTTTTCAAAAGGAATACCAGATACAAAAAAATTTCACTGCAGTTAACTAAAATTTGCAAGAAATAAAATAGCAGAAGAAAATAAACTTAGGTATTCAACAACACTACTTCCGTATATAATACAAAAAGAGTAAGGCCTTTACTAACAACACCCGTACTAATCAGACTCATGTGATTTACCCTCCTTATGGCAAATATAAGAGTATAAAATAACAAAAAAAACGCCCAAAACAGCTGGCATCCCTTGGCACCAATAAATATGTGGTCTTGACTTAATCACTAATAAAAGAAATTAGCATTTAATGAATGGAAGAACTAAATACTTTGCTCCATTTCAAACAACAGGATGAACATTGACTGCTTCT